TTGGTCTCTTGTCACGCACTCCCGCCACATATCCAACTCCTCACGCCAAAGAATCGGACTCCGGTCCCCGAGCCGTGTCGGCCGTAGCGTCCGCACACCTAAATATAATTGAACAACAAAACACCGGTAAAACAATGGTGAAACACTAGTAGGACACTTTTAAGACACTCGTAAAACATCGCCATCTCTCCGTGACTTCCTGCTGCGCTCACTCCCCCCCCTCATCACAGGCTCTCAGTCCCGCCACTGATTTATTAATTGCCATAATATCTAGAAAGCGCCATTTCTCAGCTTTCAGAAGCCGATTGTGCAAATAGTTAAGGAGTCACGGTAATTTTAATCCTCCATGTCACTTTCCGTCGCCGGCGAAAGGCTTCGGATTAAGAGGGTTAAAAGACAGACAGTCCTTCTGTCCAACCAGAAGGGTCCGTCCTCTGCTATCTGCTATAAGGCCCTACCCTTTCCGTAAGAAGTTAATGTTGTTGTGTTTCCTATTTAACGTTGTGTTTTGCACTTCTGAGCCACCGTACAAATAAGCTGGTTTCTTCGCACCCTTCTTGAGGGAACTGGGGAAAGGTGCCGGGTTGTGTACCAAACCAGCATCCCTTCCTCGGGTCTCACAGCTCACCTTTCCCCAGGGGGACAGTAGCGCCGCTGCAGTCCCTTAGGAATGCACAAGAAGCTCGGGCCCCCTTTTTTAGTTGTGCACCGTGGTGTCTGCGATGCATCACCGTCTCCTGCCAACTGATAGGGTTGTAAAACACTGGGATGCCGTTAGTCACAGCTCAGGTGTGGGGGACATCCGGACAGGCGTTGAGGAGTAAAAATGTGGCCGTGTGAGCCTGTGAGATGCATAAACTGAGAGAATAACAAAACTGTGTGGAATTTACTTCCATGCTACTACCCCAGTGACAAATGCTTCTGAGCACCAGGCAATTCTAATTCCAATTCCAATTCTTACTAATAGTCACTATCCTCCCCTTCTGAATATAAGCCATTCGCATCTGTGCCACTGCCAAAGTATTCAAGTTGTTGATGCAGGGGGACTCCTCAGAGCTGTGCACTTCGTCAAAGCTCATTAATTAAACTTGATGCATGGCGTCACTCAATGTTACAAGATAATGTTTTCTTGGCGTTATCTTGCTTGTTCAAACTGGAACTTTCCGGAGGTCAGTTTAAGGCTGCTCCCAGGGAGTGCTACTCAATAGATTCTCAACTAAGCAAGTAGGGCAGGGGTATTCAACTAAAATGTGAAGAGTGTGACGGAGGCGCATAGAGAGGGAGCGCTGGGAACCGCAAGGTTGGCAGTTTGAACCCTGGCTGTGTCCCAGGGTAAAACGTAAAAAGAACATGGGTTAAAAATGCAACATAAGTCATAATGTGGCTACTTAGTGTGATTAAAGAGGGTTAAGTTGTATCAGCATTCCGTCCATTGTGGATCAAATGCTCTACTTTCGCTGTCCTCCTTCTCTTTTGGAGGGCGCAATTTGTTCCTCATATGTCTCACCCGTCCCTTTCTCTCGCTTTCTCCGTCTCACTCGTCTTTTTCTCAAATTTCGCCTTCTTTCTTTTTCTTCCCACCGTTTTTTTTATTTGTAATTTGGCGCTACCTCTCTCGTCTGTCTGCAGTATTGAGACAATATCGTCCTGCCTGCAATGCAAAGACTTGATTGGTCGAGTAGTATCTCGTAGGATGGTAAAACTTTTTTACTTCCGGTTTTACTTCCGTGCTGAATCTGCTTGTTTAAGTTTTTTAGCGCAAACTATCCTGGATCTCCACACTATATTCAAATAATGTGGTTTCATGTAAAGGCTCAAGTCTCGAGTTACATTAAGGTCACAAAGAATACATTCAAAGCTCAGAAACAGAAGTGGCTTTGTAATGCTGGACCGAGGCACACCCCATTGCTTTGACCTAAATGCTAATGTCAGCATGTTAATCTGTGCACCACGGCGACGGCGAAATGCTCACAACAAAACTGTCAACCTTCTGGTTGTCCTACAGGAAAAGGCTGTCCAAAGTCAAAGTGGGGATCTATCCTCTGGAAACCAGGAATACAGAAAGTTCAAAGAAATCAAAACTGTAGTATGGTTGGCAAATAGATACCAATGTATGATGTCTTTTTCTATCTTTATTCTGCTTTTTTTTGCTTCTCAAACACAAAAGTTAACCTAAACCACATTGAAATTTACAATGTCTGACATCTGAGCTTGACTGTCCTCTTTTCACTGAACATTCTCTCTTTCGGCTGCTAAGCTTCACAAGGTCGAGACAACACGGTTACGTTTTTTTGGATATTATTCGCATTTGAATAAGTCCTGAGCTGAAGTCAAAACACTGGCAGGAGAGAAAAGAAAATATCTGAGTGTGGTTTTGTTATAAGAGGAACGTTAACGTCAGTTCCTTCATTTCATCCTTAACTTTCACTGAAATCAGTTACATCACAAACGGCTGCACATGGATCGATTGGCTTCAGTATGGTGTAGTCTTGGTGGCAGAAAAAAGGTTAAATGTGGTATTTATCTCACATGGAAACACGGCAAAATTACTCACACACACACACACAGCAAGCCGGTTGATCTAATCTGGGGGGCTGTAGACAGGCCGTCTGCCCCTCTGTGTCTATATAAACGGACACACACACACACACACACTCAGGAATGCATCACTCAACACCGCTCACACTGAACGTCAGAGCTTCCTCGACCACAGTCTAAGAGAATGCAGTCTTTTAATATAGCCTCTATGCACAGCCAGCAACAAAAAAGAAAAAAGAAAAAAGTAAGGTTGCTGTATTGCTCTAATCTGAACCTCTTGCTTCACTATCCAGTGTGGTAGATGTAAGTAACTGAGAGGATTGTTTGTGATCTTTGGTCGAGCGGGATGTCGGTTGTACATTCTACATGTTAATTCAATTTGGACCATGCTGATCCCTTGCCGGTGCCTCTCCACACAACACCCTGCCATTGATTGTGTTTCTCTCTGCAGGAGGCTTTCCAGCTGTCGCCTAATAGAGCGGCCAATAAGAGGTGGCGAGAATCCCCAAAGCCTGTCAGTGGCTAAACTAAATCTTATTTAATCTTATAATAATGGTGAACTGAGGACTTTGTCTAGAGTTTCCCTTTCACGAATGAAGTACACAACAGGGTTTATCCCTTTCAGATGCATTCTCAATAGACTCAATAGACGTAACGCAGGAACAAGGGACCCTCCGTAGAGGCCTTTTCTGTCCCGAGGCTGATACAGTTTACAAAAGAAAAATAAATCTTCTACAATTAAAATGTGAGTGTAAACCTTTGGAATGCAGAAACAAATTGGTCAAAGCTGCACTATAATGTACTTTATATAGAATGGAAACATAGAATTAGATTGAGTAGATTGGTCCTATCACGACCGAAATGGGACTTTGAGTCGATATCCTGGCCTAATATCTGAGATCGGTATCGGTGCATTACCAGCGGCCTTGCCATGCTGTAACTGGTTCCCTTTTCGGGTCGTATATACAGCCGGGTTTCTTGCCATTCCTTTTTTGCTTTAAATGTGTCTGATAATGTGTTGACCCTTCCTTTTCGCCCTCAGATGTTTGTTTACCTCAATTTCCCGTTAGCCGCGTGATAGAAAGGTCCATGAGACAATGACCTACCCTGATTCGGTCAGACCTTCAGCGTAAGGTCTGTTTAATGCCCGATCTAAGTTATTTGGACATGTGCAGTCTCGATTACGGCTCCTCTGGGCCACGCAAAGATAAGCCTTGGGTTTTAGTGCATGTGTGAAAGAGGTTTCACATTGCAGACTGTAAATATTACCTCAGCTCTGTGCTCAGGACTATTGATATCTGAAAAGGCTGTAACCTCAAACTTGAGGAAGTCTCCTCTGGCAGTCTTTCTGCATGCCAGCAGTCGGTCGATTGGCCTTTAGGACAACGAAATGATTTACTGACATTCATGGTCCCCAGAGGATGAATCCTAAGAACTTTTGTGAATTCCGTACCTTTGCTCTAGCGCCACCATAGACGGCGTACTGACTTACAATCCGTTGGTTGGTCAGCCATTTTGGTCCAAAGAGATATATGGTAAATGGACTGTACTTGTATGGCGCTTTTCTAGTCTTCCGACCACTCAAAGCACTTTAACACTTCATGTCATCATTTAACCATTCACATCCATTCATTCACTAATGACAGGAGCTACCATACACAGCGCCACCTGTCCATCATATATCTTCCCAAATATTTGATGGATTGATACATACATTAATTTAGCTGCAGTTGTGATTTGTGGTAATGATAATTAGAAAATAGCTTTAGCATGCTAATACTAAGATGGTGAACATGATATTATAGCTGCTAAACATGCGCACGTTGGCATTGTCATTGAATGCATTTGGCTCTAAGCACTGCCATCGTTAAGAGCTGCTAGCGTGGCTGTGGGCTGCTCACAAATCAGCTGATTTTGTGCAGAGAAAAGGTTCTTCATCTCACTTATCCTCACTGAGTCATACGTTTTCATTAGAGGAGGACAAGATGCATCGATATGGCTGACCAAAGCGCCCCGCTCCCAGAAAAAGAATCAATATACACCACCAGAAAGGGGGCGACTCAAGGGAACTGATTCGATTTACAGTGAAAGGGGTTGTTAGGAAAAGGAGGCAGCGGTCCAGGGGCGAGTATGTAACCCTGTCTGTACGCACACTGTGGCCGACATGTTTGTATGTGAAAGCGGACTGAATTTAATTAGCCGCCTGTTACCCTTCCACCGACCGAGAACATCCGCGCCCCCACTTCCCAATGCTTCATTATCCGCGATGACCATTTACACGTCCGTCATCTCCCGCTGCTCTGGATCCTCTTTGTCCAGGAAATTACGAGTTTAACCTTTCAGACCTGGAAGCACAGCAGCCGAGATTCTCACAAATAACAAATTGTTTATCAAAACAACGGCAGCTCTTTGACGAGATCACGACACGTTTGAAGACTCCTTTTCCTCGTGTGTGTTTGCAGATGGACCTGAAGCTGCTCTTGATTGCCACATTGCTCGGAGCTTTTAGTTGCGGTGATGCTCAGAAAGGTAAGATCGGCTTCCATCCTGCACTGATGATACAGTCTGGTTCCACTCTGCTGCTGCCAGCGTGGTTGGTAACCCAATGATGTCCCTGACAAGAGATCATCATTGAGGAGTGTGATGGAAAAGACGAAATGTCTCCAATTACCGCAACCACACAGTTTTCCAGACCAACTGATGTGTAAGCTAGGAAGGGGGCTTAGCAGGCTGCTTACTCTGCAGGGCCTGTGCTATGACCCCGCTCCCTCTGACTCTGCCACCTCCTCTCTTTGTTTTCCATGCAGAGGGGAACGAGTGCATCAACGCCAATGCAAAGTATTGCGGGGAGTGCATCCAGGCGGGGGCCAAATGTGGCTGGTGTAAAGATCCGGTACGTGAATCGAAGCTGTCAGCTATAGTGCCTGCTGAGAAATGATGTTACAATGCTGTTACAATGCCATTAGGCACTTAGGGCCTGATGTCAGGCTGCAGCGGACGATCGCTTGGGATCATTTGGTAAAGTCATTGATTATTGTTATATCAGCCTATGTTATATAAGAAAATACTGCAGCCATCACCGTTTCTTTGAGCCAGACATGATTCTTACTCAGTTCATGGTTTTGTCTGATTTACAGCCTGGAAGCTATTTATTTTTCAACTAGCCAAAAAGTTGAAAATGTTCAGCTAACTGAAAATGCACCGGCTAGTATGTCATTTTCAAACATTTTAAATTTCCATGGAAATTATTCGATGTTCCTTTGATTAATGATTAACTAAATTGAATATCTCTGGATTTTTGGGACAGGTGGTCAATCAAAACCAGCAACATATAGATATCAAATCAACGTACAAGGGAGATTTATCAGAAATTTCCTCATATTTATAATGGCCAGCAGTTTGGATTTTGTGAGTTTAGCAGATTACATGTAACTGAAACTTTGTCTGCAAGTCAAGAGAAGAGAGCGGTGGCCACCATAAAAACCTGAAAACACAAATCTAGAGCCAGTGTTTGGTTTTTCCATTCTGGGCTACTTTAGAAATATGGCAGCTGGCTCCGTTAACATGACCTGCTCTGTATCTAGATATAAACTTCTCATGCCAACAGAGGTAATAAAAACATTCTTGTTTTTTATTTTTATTTTCAGGTGATTATACCCAGATATATTAGATTCCATTCCTGCCAATAGATCCCTCAAATGCTGCACAGTGGTCCTTAATAAAAAATAAAACAAAAAGTTGGACATCAAAAATGAGGATTATTATATATAAGTATTTCGCTCAATGGATAGTTAAACTGATAAACTGATGCCACAGTTGATATCCTTTCAGAACTAGACCAATGTGAGCCCGTAGATCTGCAGTCATTGATGGATACAAGATTTTTGGAAACAACCAGAGCTTTCATGGACTGCATAGTGCATTTCCTGATTAAATGGATGTTCCCCTGAACTCTCCCTGTGCTTCTGCTCCCAGAACTTTCTGAAACAGGGCGAGACTGTGTCGACCCGCTGTGACGAGATGCATTCTCTGATAAAAAGGGGCTGTGATGATGATATGATCGAGAACCCACACGGTAAACAGAAGATCCTGAAGAACAAAAAGGTGACCCATCGCAAAAAGGGAGCAGAGAAGCTGAAGCCAGAGGAGATCACTCAGATCCAGCCCCAAAAACTCAGCCTCACCCTCCGATCTGGTGAGGATATGTTTCAATGAAGCATCTTTTTCTGAAGCTATTCTTGTCTTCCTTTTTTGGATTCAAACATTTTTCAGGGTTTTTTAATAACAGTAACTTTATGTAGGTGAGCCCCAGTCTTTCAACTTGACGTTCAAGCGGGCAGAAGATTATCCCATCGACCTTTACTACTTGATGGACCTGTCCTACTCCATGAAAGACGATCTGGAAAATGTCAAGAACCTGGGAACCAGTTTAATGTTGGAGATGTCAAAGATCACTTCTGACTTCAGGATTGGTGAGGATTTATTTAATTGGTCTGCTTTTTGGTGTTGAAAAATAATAACCGTTAATTGTTGCCCAAAACAAAATCAACTATTCTAATAAAACATGATCTTGGAGTCAAGAAATTCACAAAAAATGAATGTTAGAATTTTTACCATATTTTTTTATTATAAAACCGAATTAGACGTCTTCTTCCATAAAATTCTATTTACCAATTTTTACCAATATCGTTGTAAAATCGATCAGCGACCCTCACTAACTTTTGAGGTTGTGTGACTGTGGTGCCACGGCCTTTTGCAGCCCCGTTACGCACTATATTTCACAGTCAATAGCTGATACTTCAAGATGAATTGTGCACATTGCAAACAAGAACTTCTAACAGCATATTCGGCATTATTGTAATTGTAAAATGTAAATGTCGGCAAAATAACGAAGGGCTTTGTCTGAGTGGATCCACAGTATCTGCATTTAAGGCGATTGGAAGTAGATTCACGGTGTTGTGTTTTCAGGTGGGGGTATTAATGCCACCCAAGGTTGAATGGCCTTTAAGTGACCTGCACAAACAAACCAAAGAAAGTAAACACAGCTCATAGACGTCCTCTGAACTCATTACCTTTTAAACCAGATCACCCAAATCGGTCTCAAACCAAGCATCCCGTTGAGCCTTTAGCTGAGTCACTTGTCGACACGTGTTGTTCCACAGGACTTTCTAAATCCAACTGTCTTTCTCAGGTTTCGGTTCCTTTGTGGAGAAGACAGTCATGCCGTACATCAGCACCACCCCTGCCAAGCTGCTGAACCCGTGCACAGGTGACCAGAACTGCACCAGCCCGTTCAGCTACAAGAACGTCCTGAAGTTGACCAGCGACGGCAAGAAGTTCAACAACCTGGTGGGCCAGCAGCACATCTCCGGCAACCTGGACTCCCCCGAGGGGGGGTTTGATGCCATCATGCAGGTGGCTGTGTGTGGGGTAAGCAAAAGAAGAAGAAAAAACATAATAGCCGTTTTTCCTTAACCCTTGGTAATAGCGTTGGAAATAATCATTCTCAGGTTCTCAATTCAAAGGTGATTTTCCCACAATTACTACATTCGCTCAGAGGGATACAACGCCAATAAATGCGCTCACATGGCGACGTGTGAAAAGCTTTTTAATGAGCCCTCTGAATTTACAAGGAGATTTTTTGGATGCAGTGATAATCAGAAGTTTGTGTTCCATATTATGACCCGCTCATTTTCTCTTTACAGAGGGGATTTATCGCTGTTGGCGAAACCTCTTAGTTTGAGTGTTTACTTTCTCATCTCTCAGGATCACATTGGTTGGAGGAATGTAACCCGTCTGCTCGTGTTCTCCACCGACGCCGGCTTCCACTTCGCCGGCGACGGCAAGCTGGGCGGCATCGTTCTGCCCAATGACGGGAAATGTCACCTGGAGAACAACGCGTACACCATGAGTCACTACTACGTAAGACGTTCTGTTTGGAGTGGTCTGTCCTACTCGCACCTACACGACCGCTTGTTAGAGTGTAAATCTCACTTTTCTCTTCCATCTTGTTTTTAAGGACTATCCTTCTATCGCTCACCTGGTTCAGAAGCTGAGCGACAACAACATCCAGACTATTTTTGCAGTGACGGAGGAGTTCCAGCCGGTTTACCAAGTGAGTTCTTCTTTCTGGCTGTGCCTTTCGCTACATGGTAATCTTGTTCACTTTGTGTGCCGTTTCCTTTTGGAGCATACTGGTCCTCATTCCTTCTGTGTCCTATGTGGATAGAAGAGAAAAAATGTCCACCCGGGTTGATATCTCTGCTGCGAGTTATGGTAGCCTCCCCATAAAAGCGCTACTTATTTCCATGCGCATGCTTTTGCCTCTCTAGCCAGCTCACCCTGGTTCCATCTGAGTTTGATTAAAGTTCTTTCATTATGTGGCCAGAGTGCTTCAAAGCCGTCACAATTCCATCATTTCGGGGTTGAAATCGATGTTGTATAAATGTAAATCTGGAATTAACTGGTCAAACCAGTACATTTCTGGTCTAACCAATTCTGGATGTAAATAGATGCAGTCACGTATTGCAGCCTGAATCTGCAAAAGGCTTTTTGATTTATTGTTTTTTATTGAGGATTAACAGTACCTTAATAATATTTGAAACTTTCCTCAGGAGCTGAAAAATCTGATACCCAAGTCTGCTGTGGGCACTCTGTCAGCCAACTCAAGCAACGTAATCAACCTTATTATAGACGCTTACAATGTAAGTACACTTACACTTAGTAGGAGGTGCTTATCCTTAGTCAGAGTATTACCTAGAATGGACAGCAGTCCGAAGTCCCCCAGTTTGGAGAACCAGGATGGAGGCGACACAAAGTAGCAGCATATCATATTCAAGACACACAGAAGAATCATCATCAGTTCATGTGTGCGCTATATTGTATCTAGTATTTCACGCCTGTACTTTGCTACACCTATGCTCTCGACGCCGCCAGACACCAATGACAAAAACCATGCTGTTTTATCATAAGTAATACACTGACTATGGACATGTGCCTCACACAACCCCCCTTCAATATATCCAAACTATCTCCGTAGTATTTTCCTAATGCATTCCCATTTAGTGTCAGCTCATCCTTCATGTCACTGTCAAAACAAAGCTCCAAGATAACATTCCAGCATTGGTGTTCATCTTTTGGCAGTCTCTCTCGTCCGAGGTTATTCTGGAGAACAGCAAGCTTCCAGAGGGAGTGACCATAGCGTACACGTCCCGCTGTAAGAACGGGGTGGTTAGCGAGGGCGAAAGTGGAAGGAGGTGCTCCAACATCTCCATCGGAGATGAGGTAAGTGCTGCTTTCTGTTGCATTTCACTGCGACAGCTTTCAGGATATTAAGAGTGAAAATGTCACGGTGAATTTAGAAAATACCCTAAGCAGACACTTATACTGGCCAAATACAATTTGTAACCCTAAAAGTTAACTTGAAACATATATATCTTGTTTAAGTCTCTGTTTTGAGAAGCAGCAGAGCACACAGCTCCAAATCTTATAAGACATAAAAACAGGCAGTGTTTTGTTTCTATTTATTCATTTTGCCATTATATTGGCTATGCAAGTATTGTTAAAAAACAATAAATATAATAAAAGTTGTAAATGTTCCATATTCCCTAATAATGCAACTGTCTTTGCTGTTTTGCGTAGCACTCAACGTTAACTGAGAAGCACATTTATTCACGTGAAGCTAAGCAAGAAACACACGATATCATGATACGCTTATATTTTGAAATGAAGTTCAGCCTTTAGCCTGCTATCCTTTCATTTGGCACTCTCGTGAGCAACTTCTAGTAGTAAGAAGAAAAATAAACAGGGGGAATACTAGACACAAATCTAATCAGACAGCTATTTCTGGCAGGCCTAAATTATGAGATCCGATAGTTCAAAAACAAACAAAAGATTTACAAAAGAGCTGCTTTCTGTACTTGAGGTTTGTTTGTTGTTGTTTTCTTCGTTAGATTTTTGTTTTATAGATTTTCACAGACGGGTGCCAATCTCAGCCTTCAGCTGTCTGAGTCTGAGTTTCCTTCTCCTGCTTCCTTTCTAGGTCATGTTTAGCATCAGTGTGACGTCTAAGGGCTGTCCGAAACTAGGCAAGCCCGAGCACATCAAGATAAAGCCCCTAGGTTTTACAGAGGAGGTGGAGATCATCCTCAACTTCATCTGTGAGTGTGAGTGCAACAAGGATGGCGTCAAGAACAGCCCACTGTGCCACTTTGGTAACGGGACCTACGAGTGTGGAGCCTGCAAGTAAGCCTGTGAAAATTTGCATTGCCTTTATGGCACCACCTGTGTCCCACTAAACATAAAACTGCGTCTTACACGCCTCTCCCTCGCTTCAGGTGCAATGAAGGCCGTGTGGGCCGACAGTGTGAATGCAGCAGCAACGACGTGGCCACGGAGGACATGGACAGGACCTGCCGCAAGGACAATGGCACGGACATCTGCAGCAACAATGGGGACTGTGTGTGCGGCACGTGCGAGTGCAAGAAGAGAGACAACCCCGAGGAGAGGTACAGCGGCCAGCACTGCGAGTGTGACAACTTCAACTGTGACCGCTCTGGGAACAAGCTGTGCGGAGGTGTGTATTCACTCGGACATGTTTACAGGGAGGAAAGGGGCTTGTTAAAGCTGATGTACTCTTTTCGGTTTTCCCCCTGTTTTTTCCCCCTCAGGGCACGGACACTGTGAGTGCAGAGTGTGTGTCTGTGACCCCATGTGGACCGGAAACGCTTGTGATTGTTCTCTAGACAATAGCACGTGCTTGGCGAGCAACAAGCAGATCTGTAACGGCAGAGGAGAGTGCGAATGCGGCACTTGCAAGTGCACCGACCCCAAATTCCAGGGTCCCACCTGTGAGACATGTCCTACCTGTCCAGGAGTCTGCACCGAACACAAGTGAGTCCCAGAAGATGTCCCTCATCTATTACTTCATGCTACACTCTAGCTAGTCTACAACAGTGGAATGGTTACAGCGGCCCACTACTCGTGGCGTTTTAGTGCATTGGGAACATTTTTAAATGATCCTTCAAAATATTCAGACGGATTAGGATTCTAAGGTTCAATTCACATAAAAATATATATAAGACATATTTTCTTTCTTGCTTCAAACCGTAAGTAGCCATAGAGATAGTTTTGGTGTTAATGCTCCAATGAGGGAACTTTAAACCCCTGTATCGGCTGATTGCAACGATTCTGCCAAAACAGAATTACACACATAATGTACTATGTACTGTAAATCTGTATATAGTAGCAGTCAAAGGTTTAGACACACCTTCTCTTTCAATTCAATAAGAAGTTGTGTTCAAGCCTTTGACGGAGACTTTATATACTGTATGCAGATTCAGAGTGACTTACATTTCCTGAGGTTATCATTGTCTCTGCGTCTCTGCTGAGAAATCACGGCAAAAAGTTGCTCCTTTTTAAATCTCGATCTTAAACAAGCTTCAAATTTGCGCAAGCCTTAAACGGCCAACCTCAGTGCTCATTAGTAACGACAACATCCCACTCCCACCAGAGAGTGCGTCCAGTGCCGGGCGTTTGGCACGGGCGAGAAGAAGGACACGTGTGAGCGGGACTGCAGCTACTTCAACCTGATCAAGGTGAAGGACAGAGACAAGCTGCCCCAGCCCAACGACGCCTCCTACCCCGTGATGCACTGCAAGGAGAGGGACGCCAACGACTGCTGGTTCTACTACACCTACGCCGTCAACAATAACACGGAGAAGGAGGTCCATGTGGTGGACATGCTGGGTAAGCAGAGGACCAGGTTTAACAGGTGTAGAAAGCTTCCGTTGCAGAGGAAGCTAAGCTAAGCCTGTTGGGTTGCAGAAACAGGGAGATTTGTTTGTTCACTTTGAGCCGTGTGAGGGCGTGCTGTTCCCATGGTCTTGTTGGTTCGAACCACCCAAACACTGCTGCGCCCGCTGTTTCAGACTGCCCCGCCGGCCCTGACATCATCCCCATTGTGGCGGGCGTGGTCGCCGGCATCGTCCTGATTGGCTTAGCCCTGCTGCTCATCTGGAAGCTACTGATGATCATCCACGACAGACGAGAGTTTGCCAAGTTTGAGAAGGAGAAGATGAACGCCAAATGGGACACAGTAAGTGTTTGGATCAACGTCTCATCTCTCAACGTCTACATTTTGGCAGTTCGACAACCTTAAATGTGGGAAACAGGTGTTGTTTGGCTGCTCTGCCTGGGTTTCTAGCAGCAGATGAGATTTGCAGACTCGGTGATATCATAACAAAATGTCTAGCTCCCCTTCTCTTCAGTCTCACAGCTGTGGAAATAGACTGAATGTGTTGCTTTTGAATGTCGCTCAAGAAAAAAGAAAAATGTCAGGAACTGAGAGGACTTTTTTGGGAATGTTATGCACTCTGAGCATAGCTGGATTGAATGTTATGCACTCTGAGCATAGCTGGATTTTTTCCGGGGAGTGGCTACGTCTCCTCCCCCTGCCCTGTTTCCTCTGAACTGTAGTATCATCAGCCAACATCAATGACAGAAGAGTGGAGTTCTGCACAACTTCATCTGCAGTGAAATGCTGCCACCTAGTGGTGGGATTGTGTCACAACTGCCTTTGTGGGTTTGAGGATGCAGATGTTCCTGATGTGCACGTCAGGTGTCGCTTATTACCATGGCCGTCTTTGGGCTACACGTTGAGAAATGAGAGACTGTTGGTGAAACTGCGTAACCTCGGTGTCCTGACAAGACAATGAGGCACTGACTGGATTAGCAGTCATATGTAGACAGGTCTGGATCACATTCATCTACTTGTGATTATTTAATAGTTTGTATCTGTTACCAAGCTACTATTCTTTTGTCTTAGCGTTTTAATTTTCTCTAAATAATCGAGTGCCTACGTCAGTGACACAATATTGAATTCCATATGACTACTTAAAGCACAATATCACCATCGTAGAAAACATTACCTTTGTCTGAGTTTTTCCCTTTTTTATTTATTTATTAGCTTATGATTTAGTATATGTCCATATCTGAGAAGGCGGTGTGTCAGTGATGATCTGCTGCGACAGCAAGCATGGGAAAGAGTACTGAGGTTCAGGATCAATCTCAACCAATGGGAACTTCAGACCTCCATTGGACCATTGTTTGTTTTATTGTGTAAGCCTTTATTAGAGAGGTATTAGGAGGTTAGGGCAGTAAGAGGGAGGAATGTCATATCAGAAAGGTGCCCAGGTGAACTCAACATTCATCCCAGGAATGGAAGCGAAATGATGGGCTTTATCTGTCATTGTTTCAATGACGGCTTCCTATAAAAGGGGTCTTTAATTATAAAGTGTACACCGGATTTATCACCAACATTCCCTCTTTTCATAATTGTCACCGGACTTTTCTCTTCTTTCATACAGCCATTTTGTGTTCCTTTTTTTCCTGTGTTTTCCCTGTTGAACTTTATTCTGACCTAATTCTTCACCTGTAGCAAGAAAATCCAATATACAAGAGTCCTGTCAATCAGTTCCAGAACCCACAATATGGACGTAAAGCTGATGCCCATTAAGTTTGTATTTCCTCTCCTTTCCACGTCACGTTCCTGCATGGGCTGTCTACGTGTGTCTTGATTTCACTCGGTCTATACCTTTTCTTTTCGTTTCTTTTCAGAACACAAATAGGTGGTAAGAAGAGAAATGTTGCCTCAAAAGTTGTAAAACATACGTGCATGAGTGTGCTCGGACAATCGATACAGCTAAAAGATCACAAAACTTTAGTGTGAGGTTATTAAGAGTATAAATGATGTTTTAAATACGATGAAAAACTGGTACCTCCCCATATTTTGTAATCCATCACAAAAGCATGGCTGTGTGCTAAGGGTGATCCAAATGATTAACTTGTACAGTAACTGAAGGATGTTCTGTTTGTTTGCTGCATTGGTTTTTCTGTGTGATTTGATAAATGCGTCAGAAAACCTCTAACAAAAACATGGCATTTTTAGTCCTGAGTAATAACGTGATTTCTTACTTTTGTTTCTCCTCTCCAGGGTGAAAATCCCATCTACAAAAGTGCTGTCACAACGGTGGTCAATCCCAAATACGAAGGAAAATGATGACATCATAGTTTTTAATGAACTCTACTATCAAGTTTGGAGGGGGGGGGGGGGGGGGGCTGTGGTCGAATTTATGTAATGTCCTCTTATGCTTCACCAGTATAACACACCATGCGGCCACTGCATCATGCGTTTTTACTAACACTAACGATTTATATGCATTTGTTCTATTCGGGATGTACAGTATGAGTATATATTTTAATTTGCTTATTTGGAAAAAGAAAAATAACATGAAGGTGTCTTTTTCCTGCTGGAAGACTGTTATGGGCACAGGATTTATCTTTTAGTTTTGAGCAACACCATGTGGACACTATGTATATAGGATGTATGTGCAAGAACCTCTCAGCTTCTCTGTGTGCTCGTCCCTCTCTGTGCACTGACATCCTGTGGTCAGACGGGATTTAGCTTTAATGTGTAGCTGTCAGCCATAGTAGCACATAAGGCCAGTCAGTGTGAGAGAGTCTGTGTGTGTGTGTGTGTGTGTGTGTGTGTGTGTGTGTGTGTGTGTGTGTGTGTGTGCGTGTGTGTGTGACTGAAAACATAACAACTGCAAAAGGAAGTATTGAATAATGTCACATTATAACTTGGACTGGACGGTTACGTTGAATCAGAGGATACTATACAGCGGTTGTAAATGTAGTTTTGATCTGCAGCTTGGAGACACATTTTATTGCACTCTTATTATGAACTGTTATCTATTCTAAGAGTAAATACATAGGATGAAGATTAATATCAATTATCATCATTCAAATTATTGATGTAATATCACAAAGGAACTGTATAATACTTGTTAAAATTCAGAAAGTGTGAGCAATTGTATATTAATGACACAAAGAACTGATGAATATTGTCGGGCTTGTTAACTGCAGTAACCCTCTCAGGTCCTTTCCTGTATGATCGTCAAGTACGCCAAAAACATGTTTTACGTTAACTTGTTCCGTGAACTGTAGAACTTGTTCGTGTGAGTCAAATTTGTCAGTGACATTTTTTATGTTTCTTTGAGATTGTAAGACTCAGACAGGAGTATTGGTTCGGACGTCACGTGAATCACCTCGCTTTCACCCACCAAGCGCTTTCGAAGTACAACACACAAGCCGTTACACCATTTCTTTCAAAGTGCCTTTTGTTTTAATACTTTGTTCTCTCCCAATACGGTTTGAGTTATTTATTAAATAAAATACAAAAACTGTCTGTCTTTCTCCCTGTCTATCACTATAAGATAACACATGTTCTCTGATAAATCTCAGATGCAAATCTGGAGTAAGATTAATAAGTTTAAATAATGGACAAACTAATTTTTATTAATAGTTTATATTAGTAGTTCGAATAATATTGGAACGTGTGACATAATGATGAAGTCAATAATCAATAGACATTTTACTGATACTGCAACACTGGCAGAAACATGTCGGATACCAATTTGGTCTAATTTCTTAGTAACTCACACACATTTGAGTAAATTGTATACTAAAAAGTATATGATGCAGACATCGTTTATTGAAATGGATATGAATCCCAATGCGGCGGTCTTTGTTGTGTAATGAGAACATGCGTGTACGTTGTAGCTCTATCGAGCGGAAGTGCCAAAAAGTCGTACCGGATGAGATCAGAGTGAGACCTCTTACCGAGGCGCGCGCTGTCTCTGCTGCCAGCTGTAAACACCAACGAGAGGTACGAGCGTCGCTTTAAACAGGCTGCCGGAGCCGTTCATCGACAGTAGCACGTCTCACTGCTCAAGGAACATGGAAGACGACACACTAACGACGCTGAAAATATTGATAATAGGAGAAAGTGGTGTCGGAAAGTCCAGGTAAGCTGTAACATGAGATAATTATCTCCAAGAAATGAATGTCGTGGCACCCCGCTAACGTTAGTAAGCTAACTACTGTTGGATTAGCAGTCAACGTTATATATAGTGAGGTGAAAATATAATGCGTACTTTAATATTACGAAGACAGCTCGACTGCTTTTCTTTGACATAAACACTCCAGCTGTTATATTCTGAGATAACACGGCTTGGTGGTGTGCTAGCTGTCCGGCTAACCTCGCTAGCCTCCAGTTTGTGACATCATCTTTGTTCACGTCTGAAGATGTTGCGATCTGACGTCACTCCTTCCAGCCTGTGTCGTGGCTACGCGGCTATGGGTGAGGACAGTTATATAAGCCTACATTATGTTAGAAGAAACACACTATGTGGACACACTGTGTGTTATAGTGATGGCTGGATCTGATCTTACTGCATTGTAGCTTCTAAAGGATGAGCTGGTTCAACAGGCGAATGTCGAAATAGTTTACTGTGATTCTAGTCATGTTTTAGTGACTATGATTATGCCGTGACTATAATATCCAAAGCAGACTGCTCTTCTTTTTACCAATATGATTCTGGCACTTTTGTATTGTGTAGTATGCCAAAACAGTGCGTATTCGTGTTTGCTGGTCTCCAAGACTGTGGTCTGGACTGCGTGAAAGAATGCAGATAGGCAGCCTGAGCCATCAACCATCACATTGCACACTGTGTTATTGAGCACAGCTTGCCTTCCATTGTCTTATCACGGCATGGAGGTAATGAGCTGCACGCAGCTCTGGGGAAAGCTTCATTACAAGTAAAACCGTCTGGCCAAAGATGATCTTCCACCTCAGAGTGAGAACAAAGCCTCCGGCTGTTACACTAATGCTTGTATTGCATTGTGTAGTAATCACAGGATTCGGGTCTTCACCATCATGTAATGTATACATATACACTCTTCGTTTTAGCCCACACGGTTGTTGGACACCTCAAATGTTTGCTTCCTCTATTCAGCTTTTGGGGTATTATCCTTGTATTGTAACCTCTTGGGTCTGTGCCTATTTTGGTTTAAGGGTAGAAACATCCTCTTCAATAAGAGCTAGTTTACTTTCAGCTCTGTATTGAGCACAGATGAGAAACACCATAACATTGACCTGCGTCTGCTTATACTTCCAGAAAACAGCTGCTAGTACATAATTGGGGCCAAGAGCATGCTTTCCAGAATTACCTTTAAATTGGCTTTTCCTTAATATAATAAACAAATGAAACTATGAATAGTTTCAAATGTCATTTAAATTATCCTGGGCCTTTAGCTATTGTCAAGCAGGTACACCGGCCAGGCAAAGGTTTAAATAGCACATATATTTCATCTGTTTCCTTCTATTTGGTTGTAGCCCTTAAATCTCCAGGGAAACGTCTGCTTGGCGAGGAATACACAAGCTTTGTTTTACCTGATCAACCAGCCCACGCAGAACACATTTCTAACTTGGCAGTCTCTGAGCCGAGCTCATCGGCTGCATCCCTCCTGATAATCCTTTAGGAAAAATAAGAGAATTATGCTCGGTTCAAGTGAAAGGAGTCTACTTATCCTCATCATCAGCACAGTGATTAAGGCCTTTGCACTCGATTAGTCATAGTTACGTGAACCCTGTCCCTCTGAGTGAAATCTAGCGGTGATATCATCTCGAATATGATCTCATCATATTTGCATGACGCAATATGAGGACAAAGACATCAATAGAAAGAGATACAGATACGGAATTGGACGTGGCGGGTGCCATAAGACTGGTTACGTGAACAAAACAAATGGAAACCTGTTTACAGACCAAAAGCTTCAATCTGTGGAGTAGAAGTACGGGATGAATTCTTTCTGCTGTGTTTGTTAGTGATTCATAGTGAGTCCTAAAGAAATTATTGTTCTCTTTCCGACAGCCTCCTCTTGAGATTCACAGATGACACATTTGACCCAGAGCAAACGGCAACAATAGGTGAGTGACCATGAAGTCTGTTTATTAAATAGTCAAATAAAAGGGAGGTTTGTGCTCGTTATCAGTGGAGTCAATAGGAGCGACACACTTTAATGGTCTAAACTCAGACCCCAGGGAGTTGTATACAAACAAGCAACACACTTTGGTTACTCATGAAAAGGCGTACAAAATTGTTCACATTTATTCCATTAGGTCATTGAGAAATATTGTTACCCACGTCATATCATATATATTTTTTAATGAGGTTGCAGTTTACACGATTCTAGTGACAATTGGATTTTCTAAGTAGTCACCGACCGCCTGAGAGGGGGGGGGTTATCCTGCGGACGCACTTCCTTCGATGATGACACAGTCGCTTTGTTGTTTATTTTTGGAAAACAAATACATAACGTGACGGATAGCACACATTCATGACTGCTCAATATACTTTCTCTGCAGGACTGATTTGGTCGCCAGAGTTAAGGATGCCAATACCATGAATATAGTAATCAGCATAAGTATAACGTAATGTAGCGCAATTTTAGCGGTGAATAAAAAATTCCTCTCACCCCCTCTCCTCCCTTTTCCCACACTAAACTTCGGACAAACATTCATCCCCATTACCATCCCCAACACCATGTAACTCAATTATCGTAAACGACAAAAGAATGGCACCAACAATTGACAATTGGCTCCTACAGGAATGTTCAGCTAGATTGTATTTTATACATATCCATATACAACAACACATCACTAAATATGACCTCAATAACAATATGCAGTTAAATTCACACCTTTTACAAAAGAAAAACAAATAACTGGTTATTACAAGCTCTATAAATGCACAATATGTGGCTTGGGTATAACTAGATTGCAAATATTGTTCCAAGCAATGTAACCAGGGAGTGTAAACCAATAAAAGATTAAATATAGCATAGGACATTGTTCATGTAGTCAGCCATGCTGAGGCTGCTGGCAGATACTTCACATCTTACTGAACAAAGAATTCAATTAAATAATTATGCAAAGAATTAAATATCTGAATTGTTTTTCTTTTATGTACTGGGATCAAAATCAAGCTGGCCAAGTTTCCTAATGTGGGCTGTCAGCAGTAAGAAGGTGTGAGCACTTGGCGAGCTGGAAGTATGCTACCATAGTACCACATGGTACACACAGCCACAGAGCCACAGAGTGGTTTGATTTATTTAAGTCTACGAGGTGTTTGGAAAACATTCCTGCAGCAGGAGTCTATTCTTCTTCTCCCGGGACATTTTGAACTTAGTGGTACGTGATTTAGTAATTATGTGGAGGCTTTTGCAAATTTCTGGTGCAACTGTAAATTCAGCTATGAGGACACACCTGCTTTAGCCATCTTTTTTTAAGCATTTAAGGTACCATTCATTAAACAACTCCAGATTGCCACTCTTACTGATGAATTGGAATGTTGAAGTTTCCTAGTTAGGGGATTATTTTTTAGCTCACAGTGCTGTCTGTTTAAGCCACTAAAACCACAGATACCACTAAAAGTTGAAACACTCTTTTCTGGATTTCTGGATTTTTTTTTTTTCTTTCTACTTTCCCGGCTGGGAATCTTTGCCACACAGATGTCTTTTTTGGACTCTAGCCTCCCTCATTGACTCAAGTTCTCTGAGTCAGACTTAATCTTATTTAATCCGAGATCACTCGATCTAAATTAATGTATTTTAGTCAGTCCCACCTAAAGCACCTTTAGCATCTCTTACTGTGGTGGAAGCCTCCTCAGTGCGTTGTCCCATTAGCACACAGTGTATTCACAATGTAGGTGTGTTCTGGTGCAGAGATCGGCCCATCTTTGACTACCATCAGCGGAGGCATCTTCTTGTGCTGTGATCACAAACCGATGCCTTACAGCATGTCATATATCCTGGGCCTGTCTTCATGCCTCTTTTCTCCCCCTCTGTTTCGGCGCACTCTTGAACTCTCCCTCCCTAGTCCCAAATGTAAAAACAAGACCAACACAAGCCTGGTAAATCTGTCAGTGGATGCTAAAACTCAGGGCAGTTATGGCATCGAGACACTGCACGCTCTGCACCCCGAGACAGTGCACCAATGCAATAGGAGAGATTTACTGTGAAGGGGATGGGGGACAACATTATCATTTTCACGTAAATGTCTGTACCTTTGGGACCTGGAGGAGTTTTTATGGGTGAGTCATGGCTCTCTGAGCCATTTCACAGGTGGTCCATTATTTTTCTTTTTTTTGACCTGTATTAGTTTCAGATTTCTGACATTAAAGCTCACACCGTCCCTTTTGCGGTGGATATGAATACACAGTCACACCATCATTTAAAGGGCGTGGTATGCCAGTCTGAAAGGCTGGGGTTGGCCGAAATACAACAATCTAGTGTGTGGTATACATATGACAGTTCATCATTGGTAATTACAGTCTATTGCAGTGATATAATATTCTCAGCAGTAATTGGCCAAATCCGTAGCAGGATGAGGTCACCATGACAGCATGAGGGATTGATCTGCTTCTCATTGTCTAGGGGTCGACTTCAAAGTGAAGACCATCACCGTGGACGGAAACAAGGCCAAGCTGGCTATCTGGGTAAGTGGCGAACTCCGTTCATGGAGCCTGTCACCCTCGTCCCGCCAACCTGAGCTCCACAACTCCCAATTGGTCTGCTCCCACAAATTGCCAGAAGATGGCGCCGGCGTAACAGCGTTTGTCGCCTCTATGCTGCCCGCGGGGCACGAGAGGAGCCGTACTTGTTGTGATGTCCATCACTTGTGTTTGAGCCTTTCCCTGCGCAGTGTGTCTCGTGGGGCTGAGCTGCTCGTGTTTTGCAGGACACAGCCGGGCAGGAGCGCTTCCGAACCCTGACACCTAGTTACTACCGCGGGGCCCAGGGGGTCATCCTGGGTAAGCCGAGCTGTTACCGCCATCAGACACGTGTATGCTTGCGCGTGTGTGTGTGTTTGTGACTCAATTTGGAGTCAGACCCCTGCTTGTAAAAAACGAAACAATGGTTTTTCATCCTGTGACACACACCCACACACCCTCTTGCCTCTTTCTCTGGAAGTCAGTTTATGCAGTTGCAGTCCGACTCCTCATATGGACTCATATACACAATGTCTTTGAACGAACACACACACAGGAACTAAGTTAAACCTCTTAACAGACTTCCTCTGCAGGCGAGGGTTTGTGCTCTAATGATGTACAGAAACACGAGGCGCCTTGCTGCATCACTGGGATTATCAGAACATCCCGTGTGATACTTTAATCAACCATCTGTAATGCGTTTGTAGAGGACGGTTTCAAGCCCATGAGACATGTTACTTTCTAATAGTAAGTAGTATAATTAGAAATATATATACATATATATTTATATATATATTTTTAAGTTTTAAATTTGTTTGCATTTCAGGAAATGTTTTATATTTAGAACATAGATGTAATTGGGCTCAAATTGGGCTTAGATAGATAATATTTATGCATGCAAATTAATTAATTAATTAAAATAAAATATTTTCTAACCTACTAAATTAATCCATGGAGTAATTGGTGTAATACTCAATACTGATTATTAGTTGTGGAGCTACAACATTTACATTTTTCAATTTCAAGGCCTGTTGGACTGAATCGCTTCTCAGAGGTTCAAGTTGATCTCACAAACACTTTTCTATTTTATGTACGTGGAAATGCAAATCTTGCAATTATTCAAGATTGTACCATGATTACGCTGACATAACGTGTGTGTGTGCGTGTGTGAGATGCATTAAGTGGCACTTCTCTATGAAATGTGCGGCGTGTGTAAGTATTTGCCTTTGTTCCGAGCTCGTCTGTCCCTCTGGTTTGCCACAGTGTATGATGTCACGCGTCGGGAAACCTTTGCCAAGCTTGACAACTGGCTGAACGAGCTCGAAACATACTGTACACGGAATGACCTCGTCAAAATGCTTGTGGGAAATAAAATTGATAAGGTGAGTGTGTGTGTGTGTGTGTGTGTGTGTGTGTGTGTGTGTGTGTGTGTGTGTGTGTGTGTGTGTGTGTGTGTGTGTGTGTGGTAGTGCATCAAATGTGTGTGTTCCCACTAAGGTTGACAAGGTTGTCGGACATTTGGATTTTTCATTTAATTTGCACCGTTTGCCTTTACTTGAACTACGGTGACCAAAAGGATCTGTCTAAGATACGCGAAGAACATTAATATACAGTTGCTTCATAGAGGCATATTCCACACAAATGTAAAAAGAGATCTCCCAGAATAAGTCAAGTTGGCTATGGGCCTTTTGACAAATTACAGAACTAAATAACCGGGGCAGACCCACTTTCTGGCAACCGGTCCATCACCAGGATACCAGAGTCCGTCAGTGGGGATAAAAATGGCCACTAAGTACGGCATTATGAATTTATTGTGCCCTGTTCTTTGTCTCTGCAAATCCCTTTCCCTCTCTGCCCTGCAACGAGTACAGTAGCTGACAGCTCTGCCCGGCAGACCTCAAATAAGCCATTACCTCCCTTTTGTTTCAGGAGAACCACCAGCTAGACAGGGCTGAAGGATTAAAGTTTGCGAGAAAACATTCCACGCTTTTTATAGGTAAGTTGGAAGGATTCCCTGCCCTGCAAAGACTCGCTGTCACGTGGGGGGGGCGGGGGGTGTCCTTCGAAACAACAATCCTACTTTTTGAGGAATGCCTCTGTAGTTCTATTATTAAAATGGGCTGCGCATGTCACTTTTCCTGGTCATTTTTATTAAGGGAGTGCTTTTAAGAGTTGTTGTGACTTGCACTTCAAGTCTAAACAAGAAGTTTTAATCTTCATGCACTGGAAAAGGTTACTACAAAATGTTTGTGGAAATGGCTTCACTCGGAGCTTTCAAAGTCATTTCACAATAAATTAACTCTTATTTGGCTTCGTTTAATAAGATGAATGTCCTTACGCCGTGGTTATTGCTGTCATAATGTTCCTGGGTATCGTCACATCGTGCAGCAGGTGTTGACTATATCCCTTTATAACCTCCGGGGGTTCGCTATTAGCGTCGGGGGCTGACAGTTATTGTTGAGACATTTTCCACCCCTCCGCTCTGGAAGCCCAGGCAGATGATGACATCAAGATGCAGACAGTGAATATGTATCTTATTTCACTGTTGTTTTTCCACTCTATCCCCTTCACTCCGCTTCTTTCTCCTTTTTTGTCCCCTCCCTCCCCTCTACACCCCGTCCTCCCAGAGGCGAGTGCAAAGACCAGGGACGGTGTTCAGTGTGCGTTCGAGGAGCTAGTGGAGAAGATCATCCAGACGCCCGGCCTCTGGCAGAGTGAGAGCCACGGCCGAGGGGTCCAGCTCACTGACGAGGACGCGGGGGGCGGAAGCTGCGGAGGCTACTGCTCCCTAGTCTAGGTCTAGACAACATGCACCGATACGTTTACACACGCACACACACACACACACACACACACACATGTTCAAAGCATACGTTGGAATACCACACGCAGTGCCACACAAGCATACACATGCAAACCCCCTCCCACTGTGTGCTGTCCTTAACTGATCTCAAACAAGTAAGCAGTGGAGAGTTGACCCACCACACACACACACACACACACACACACACACACTACTTATGTTCACACAGACGCTACCTTTTTGCACACGCTGGAACAACCCTGCGCTTAACTGTGAAGGCAGCTCCGCCTTCATCTAAATGGAATTTGAGTGAGGTTCTCTCTCCTCTGTTTTGTTTTGAGTTCTAAGTCTCAGTCTAAGTATTTTTTTCAGTTTTGGGTCCCTTGGTCAAAATTGGAAGCCTTCCCATGTCATTCACACATGAAGGGTGTCCAAACCAAGGCTTAGTGTCTGAAGTGCGAGGATGAGAATGGGGACGTTTTGACTGAGGGTTTCCCTCTCGTCTCCAGCATGGTTATCGTCCTCGAAGCACCTTGCCTTAGTGAGCACATCTGTTTCTATGCAGGGCCACTTTTCTCAAGTCTTTCTCGTGCTTGACACCCCCCCTTCCCCGCCCCCAAGACTCTATGGACATTATGCTGCTTACGGGGAAGCTTATCAAGTCAAGCTGTCTAGTATTCCATCTCACCACTTTCAGTCAAAGGCTTGGATCATGCGTCTCTGTTGTCCATACAACTGCCTCATTTCCTCCGTGCGTAATAGAGTTACCAACTGTCTGGAATGACGTTTGACTACTTTTATTGACTTGGACTTAAAACTTTTTGGTGTGTTTTTGAAGAGTGCATAAATCAAAGAGATTGGCACAAGCACACTTTCCACTGGGTGCTGAAGAAGAGGGAACCTCTTAAAACTGCACGCCTTTGTAGTAACAAGTTGCTTTAATGGAGTGTGACACACTGGCACTCCCTCTCTCAGACAGATAATATCAGTAATAACACTGGCACTATTATGTTAGTTTTTCATAAAGATCCGGAGAGTCATAAGTGTGTTCCCACAGAATTTGGAAAATGAAAGAAGGCGCAGTGTGCTCCACATCGCTGATGGATTTCACAGCACTCTCTATCTCTGTATTTGTATCCAAGCAGCAGTTCTAAATGTATGACCCCCGTCCCGCCCACTGACCGTGTTTGTAATATTCGAGTGCTGGGGTGTGTTCTGGGAAATGTATTTGGAGAGTTTGATCTTGTAACAGGGATGGTGAAAATGACATGGGTTCAAGCATGTGTAATCACAAATTGAATTATTTTTTAAATCTCTTCTTAATTGCATGGGAAACTCTGCGTGCCATTTATTTGTGTTTGTTTGTCGAGTGAATGGCCTTCAGAGGCCATTTACTTTTAACAAGTTAACTTATATTTAGCTGATAATAAAACTGAATTTAATTGTTTACATGCGCAAAAAGGAAGTAGGTTTTACTTATTTAACGGATATAGCTCTCTCTTTTCTATCTTTAGAAATATGTGGAAACATGCCCTTGTAAATTGTGTGTATTTCAGGGATTTGAATTAGAGAATTCCTGTATGCATTGTAAAGCTGAATGTAAACATATTTCACTACGAACAAAACACCGTATGTATTAAACAATGGTTTTTTAAGCAAATTCAAGTGACTGTTTGTGTTCATGCAACATCTGTAGAGGCAGGTGGTACGATGCTGAAGAATCCGCTCGAATGTCCCAGCTTTCAGCAGAGATGACCAATAACTCGGCCGTGCCATGGTTGCCATGGTGGAAATGTCTCTGTTAGGTGATGGGTTTTTCACTTTGCGCCCTTTCGCATTCCTCGGTCAGAATAAAGACGTTTTCAAACAGTGTCCCAGGAACCTTCAGACGTGCGATCTATCTAAATCATCTTGTTGGCAGACTACTCGTGAAACACCACCACGGCCATAACTCACTCTACCAGTGCTTTTAACTGGGATGTGCATAATTCCTGGCCGACTTATGAAAGGGTCGGAGCTGGCAGCGAGACCGAGGGGGTCTTCCCTTTTAGCGTATCCCTCATCTCCTCCTGCAACCTGGAAATATGTCTCAGTCAAACAACAACGGAGGCATACTGTGTAATAATGCCTTCATGTGGTCAAACATGTGCTGGTCTGTAGAACTGCTGTTTCCTCATGCTTGCGCTGGAAAAACATCAGCTTCCCTTAGCTGACAGATTCTATATTTTCTGGAAATAATGAACAACGTTGTCGATTCCCATCATAAGTAGGGCAGCGTATGTAGTGTTTGAACAATGCTTCTGTTTTAGTACACTGTAAATGCACCCCTTAGTGTGCATTTTAATTCTAAATTGGGAAGCAACTAAATTATTCTTTGGTCATTGACTTTTTTTCCTTCAAAAGAAAAGGGAAAAGAGAATTGCCATTGCGAGTTTTCCCCACAGTGACCGTCCCAAACTACAACATATTATTTAGAAACCACAACAGAAGTCCTCACATTTGAGAAGCTGGATATGCTTGTTTGGTTAATCATTGAAACAATTCATCATAGTTCAAAATCAATGAGGCAAAAGTAATTAAAGATACTTGATGGTTACGATGTCTGGGTTTAACATTTAACTTGCCTCCTTTTTAGAAGTTAATCTGACAGTTTGGGTTAGGCTAGTTGTCTCAGAAGTAACTGGAAGAGTAGTAACTTGATGACTTTTTTGCAATTTAATCATTTCTGCTAAAAATCATTTTTAGCTCAACCAAGTAATAGAGATGGCTCAGTCATATTTTCAATAAGATATTGTGACGCAAAATGTGCTCTACAACACTGTGGAGCAGTGTCTAATAGCTCTTAAAATATTTAAATCTGGACAGGCTCATATTTACATTCATACGGCCAAAGAATAACTTTTTTTTTAATCTGGCTTTTTCCAGAAAAATGTTATTTTGAAATTGTTGTATTGTCCCTCTTGAAAAATTTCCCAAACGTTCTTTTTTAGCAACTATTCCCCCCCCTGTAAACCCACTGGTCTGGTTATTTCGTTGTGTTCATCCGCCACACCTTCAAGAGTGGTCTGCAAAATATTGTCTAACATGAAACCGGTCCGTGAGGCAAAAACGTTTTGGGACCCCTGCTTTAAACAACCTAATGAGGAGACCAATGTCATTCACTCACATACACCACCATCACTGGCTGTGGGTCAAAAGTAGAAGTGTCTCTGGTATCATACTAGTGATGGGAAGTTCGGAGCATTTTACCGACTCGGTTCTTTGAATCTCGTTCAGTAAAATGAACGAATCTTTTTTCGAGTCATTCGTTCATTTCGGGGGGGGGGGGCTGGTAAGATAAATTCCTGCATTAAAATAATGTATCATGACAGTCTGGATGATTTGAAGTGATCATTTATTTTCACACTAGCATTCAATTATCATTATAAAAATGATCCTAAGATCCGTATCCGAAGACCCAGTGAAAATGAACAAATCATTTCTGTTTTCTCTACCAGTGCTGAGCCTATGCAGGTCATGTGAAAAATGATCTAAAGATGATCAATCGTTCACCTCCCGACCGTGTCTTCGGGTCAATGTTTTGTTCATCTGCCAACCGAGTCTTCGGGTCAATGATTCGTTCATTGTTCATCGTTCATTTTTCACTTGACCTGCATAGGCTCAGCACTGGTAGCGAGTAGATCAATGATTCATTCATCGTTCATCGTTCAATTTTCACGTGACCTGCATAGGCTCAGCACTGGTACCACTTGGTTGGCAGAAGGATCATTTTCCACGTGACCTGCATTCAACGAATCATTTCTGTTTCCTTGGCTGAGCCTTTGCAAGTCCCGATGCGTGGCCACAAGAAAACGAATGAATCTTTTTTTGAGAGGACTCGTTACTCTTGAGTCTTTGTAAGGATTTGTTCAAAATGAACGAATCGTTCACGAACGACACATCACTATGTCATACACAGCAGCAACAACAATAAAAAAAAAAAACAGAGGAAGATGGAAAAGGTCCTTTGCACATCCTGACTTACTAACATGCCGAACTTGTCCTGCCCCACCTTGTTGCCTCAGAAGCCTGTGAGCAGCTCAGCGGGGGCAGCTTGATGGACCGCTCTCCTGTCTGCGTCTGAGCACACAGGCCCTAAGCTAACAGAGCGGATCTGGCTCTCATTTACACAGTCTCGTCTGCCTGCTCCTCCTCCGCTGGTCGCAGCGGTGGGCCGTATGGCTTAAAGCTCAGATGAGCCCCCCGGAGGAGCAGTCATGCTGTCACGTGTAAAAACGTTACGAGACGTCGGCCATCGTTTCATGAGGTGTCAGGTTCCAAGACGTCACTCACTTTGTCGTGCTCGCTGGCGATTTGCAATCGGGTAATTGTTTCGCCATGCTGACTTATGGGATCGGAGGAGAGAGTGAGAGGAGAATTGGAAAGATCATCCTCTACCACAACCACCTAAACTGTATTGTGGTGAGGAACTAATATGTTCCCCATAAGGTCTTGAGTGATAATGAGTTTGTGATCGGTCTGGTACTCTGTTGCAGCCGGCCTCCTTGGAGTTCTGTGGGGCCTCAACTGGAACCTTTGCAAACGCGATCGTACCCTTTTTTCCTTACTCACCCTCACAACCTTCCCTTTCGTAAAGACGGCCGTGCAGGCACCTGTAGGTCTGCAGACTGTCTCGCTGTTTACGTTCCGAAGTGAGGTAGAGGAAAATGCTCCTTTGCTCCCACTCTTTCCTTCTCCCTAAGTCAGCCAAAGTCGATCTCTGGCCTCTCTTAGGTTACCCTCTGAGCACCAGAAGGCTGTGAGGTAATGACCGGCATGCCCAGAACTGATGGCTCTGTCAATGCAGGTGGAAACACTTTGATTATTTTGGAACCACGTGTTTACATTGTTGCACCCGTTTACATTTAGACCCTTTGACATTTCAACAGGCAAGGGAGCATCCCATTTCAGGACCCTGATCTGTTTTGAGCTGTTTGACCTGCTGTAGGCCTTTTGGGTTACCTAGAAGTCAGTCAACCTCCCCCTCCTCCTATTGGCTCACAATGAGAATCCTTGAACCTTCTTGAGTGGGCATTGCATTATTTTATATGACACCATATTTCAGCTGATACCTTAATATTTCACCACATTAAGGAGAATAGCTGAATGGTAATTGTTTAAAATCAAGAGCGTAAAAATATCTTTTGGGGGGGGGGGGCTATCAAGTACGAGGATGGATTCTGTCAACACATCGGCTTTACCCACATGCTTAGAAGCGGGCCTGTATGTGCACCCATCAATCACTCCAGACTCCCATAACTTAATAAGAACAGTCCCCGGGTAAGCAGGAAACCTCCATCCTTGTTGGGTGTGAACTTCTGGCCTCGGATCCATGTAAGTCAATTCAGCCAGTAATAGAGCTGTAATTGAGTTTCCTCATAGTTGATGCTCTGTCAATCTGATTTAAACCCAAATCATTGTTTTGTAACCCGCTTGTTATTTTCAAAAACTGTGCGCCCTGTGGACAGGCCTAAAGAGAGCAGGAGACACCGACCAGAGAAAACTCCCTTCACAGTAGGGGTTGTTATCTTTTTGGCCTCAGGTTACTGCGGCAACAATCGCTTAGGCCGAAAAACGGGAGCAAGGGGCACTGCTGTAGAAAGAAAACGGGAGGAGTAACCTCACTCATCATCCCACTACCCATAAGTCCCCTTGTTTGTGGTGCACCTGTCCCATGTGGCCAAACGCTGAATCTCCTTTCCGGATTCCGACTCCCTGTCGTCGTCATTCAGGGTGTCAGGATGCCTCATCCAGATCTCACTCATGCTACCGCTACAACATGGAAGCAAATATCCATGTACTCAGGCCATCGGCTTCTATAATAAACTAATCACTTTGTATCAACATGGCATGGGTGTAAGCTTTCCACATGCCTCAAACATTTGCGTGAACTCCAGTCAAGCACCAAATGCAGTATTTTGCTCAGAGTAAAGAAAAGAAATCCACATTAATAAACTCCCTTTTGGGTGAGATGATTGGCATGTATAGAAACAAATTCATTATTTTGTATAAATAATCAGGCCCCTGTGTTGTAATTGCAGTGCTTATTTTTCTTTGCAGAGCTGATCTCAATTTTGGGGTTGGACCAGAGAATTTGTTGTAAACCACGAAGTCTGAAGACCCCAATTTCACTGACTTTGAAGAGACGAGGGGCTTTAGAAGGCCTTGCAAGATTCGCTGTTTCTTCTGAGAAGCAGTTTTTTCCACAAGGCCAGACCTCAGCCTAGCTGAGTTTCTTGACAGAGGTCAGAGGAAGAACTCTTTAGTATTTCGTCTAGGTCTTGCGGGGTCTCATAGCTTGAGGCCTTGCCCTCATTACAGTTTGGGTTTTTCCTGACCATTTTCACTCCATTGCGCTTGGGATGTAACCCGAGTTTCGGTTTATTGCTGTAAACCACAGGAAGCTCATGCTCTTTGACTGTATCGTGGACAATTGAATTTGAGAATACAAAGCCAACCTCTACCTCTCCCAGCCTCCCACTAGCAAGCTAAAGTCAAATAAAGCTGTCTCCAAGGAAATCATACCCAGGTCACACAAATGCAAACCACTTCAGAGGGACGTGGGTTTCATTTAATGCGGGACGTTGGTATCCACCATCCACTTTGTCGTGGGATTCCCTT